CCTCTCTGTGCCGAGCCACACAGGCCATGGCTCTTGCACCGGGGAATCGGAACTGGGGCTTTGGGGTTTCGAAGAGTTGGGCTGGTAGGGTCTGCGATGGGCTCAGTCTTTGGCCGGAGGCTCAAGCCGGCTGGAAAAGGTGTAAGGTCGATTCCACCACCGGCTGTGTAAACACATCATCGTTGAGGGTTCAAAGAGGTTTCAGGTTTCGATGAGTCGAAAGTAGCGCGGAAGCTCTCAAAACACTTGCAGCCAAGACTAGCGACTGGCGCAGGCCGAGCAGGCTGATTTCCGCAGCTAGTTGCACAACACATGCGATCCTAACTCATCAAAGTGGCTCAGTGTTGAGAGCCACCTAAACCCTGAACCAGGCAGTTGTAAGAGCTGTTTTGCACAAACTCCGAATCAGCCAGAAGCGCCGCCACGGATCGCGAGATGGCAGCCATCACCTCAGGATCTTCTAGGTGTCATGCCCTACCATAGCTAGGAGCAGCAGCAGTAGCAGGAAGTGGCATATCTTCTAGGTGTCATGCCCTAAACCCAAACCCTGAACCCGAAACCCTGAACCCTAAACCCTGAACCGTAAACCCCGAACCCTAAACTTAAATCCCAAAGCCCCAAACCCCAAANNCCTAAACCCTAAACCCTAAGCTCTCAGTCTCAGCCCTCGACTCCCTTGGCTAAGAGCTCGGAGTGATCCTTCATCTTCAGAGCGACGTCCTCGAAATCCTGAAGGCATGGGCTCACTGAGGCTCAAGTGGTTAGGGTCTTTATGGAGCCTAAACTCCAAACCCTGAAAACCGGATGTACTCAGTGTGTCGAATGGCCTGAAATCTAACGCAATCGGTCAAGTCGCTGCCACCGAAATCTGATGCAGCAGGTCAGGGATAGAGTTGCATCTGCCTGCCAGCAGCATCGGGGTCTATCTAGGATGGAGGGTTCAGGGTTTAAAGTTCCGGATACTGAGAATTCGGAGTCAAAGATACAGGGTTTGGTGAGACGGTGAGACTTCCTCCACAACGGCTGCTATTAGGAGCATGCAACCCTTGGAGTGTCGCCGCAGAAAGGACAACCTCGAAGAGCCCGCGCCTACATGCGGAAAATGAGCGTAGTCCGAGTAGAAGTACCTGGCGGAGATGCCATCCCTATATTGGCTGGCGTGACGGGCATCAACCCTAAACCCTAAAAGTGCGTTTCAGAGTCTTCTTCTGTCCTGCTCTTCGGCTCTGCCCCAACTTGAGCCTCCCCGATGACCGCCGTGCAAGAACTGAATGATCAATACGGACCAGTAAGGCCGCAGACCCCCACACAGAATCACCCGGGCTGACCAGTGATGAAGACTTCGTGGGCTCTCCGACTCCGCATTGAAGCTCGTCGGATAGATACCTCGGCATCACATGGCCTCATCCTCTCTGCAAGCCCTGCCTTTCCAATCAATCTCTATAGATATGTATGTAAATATATATATGAGACAGTAGCATATCTTTAACGACACTCTGGTGTAGTATGGTATCTATCTTCGAAAGGCTGAGTCCCGACGGATTTTTTTGGAGCCTCACGCTGTGTCGGTCGACACCTTGTGCTGCCCGGCTCTCGCGGCCGGGGCGTGCACGGCGCGGAACCGCGTCACTCCGCCTGCAGTGGGTGGGGTTTCGGGTTGCGGGGGGTTGCTCGCTGGGAGGTTCCTAGCAGATATCCAGCAGTGAGGTGTCACGTGCCGGAAGGATACCTGACCCACCACATGGATATCCGCCCCACTTGCGCAACTTCAATACACACAGCCTACAGGCTTCCACAGTTTATCCCTTGCACAGCTAGAAAGACTCTCTCCCAGAACTGCTCCCAAACTATCCCAACGACCGTACCAGCACATTCCTTTCCTCCCTTCGGCCCGGCCGTCGCTGCAAGCCCAGATGGAAGACCCAGAGCCGCCGCGCTGCCAGGGTCCAGGGCCCAGAGCGACGTCGTAGCAGCGCCGGGGCTCCTGTGCTCGGGAGAGGTTCTGGGCTGAAAAGGTACCACAGGGATCCTCTGGTCCAAACGTCTCTTGGGATTCTGCAAATCGGAGTTTTAATCACGGACCCTGAGATGTCTCTGAACAGGGACCCTGCAGTACTTCTGGAATCCTTGACACCCCCCCCCCCCCGCCCTTTTCTCCCAGTTTTCTGGACCGCCGGCACTTTACGAAGGCGGAGCTGGAGAGAGAGGTCAACTACAACACTACGATCCCCTCGAGGCATGCACAGACTACACCAACAACTAATATAGGGGGCCTGAATAATTAGAATAGGGTTTCGGGGCCCATTATACTATATTTATAATAAGGAACCCCCAAAAACCTATTCTAATCATTAAGGCCCTTATATTACCCAGCAGAAGATGGTGGTGATACCGAGGCTGATACTGACAATGGTAGTGACAATGCTAGGATCACGGTAATGATCAGGATGATGAGAAGGGCTATGATACGGATGTTGATCCTGGTAATGAGCGTGATACAATGATACTGGCTAGCATAACAAAACGACAGTGACGATAACCATAGTTTGTATGTTCAGAATGATCACGCGGTAATGATACTAACAGCAATAGTCGTAGTAGGAGGCAAAACGAAGAGTGGCAAGGAAGTACATCCAAAAACCCTAAACCCTAAACCCAAAACCCCCGCCACAGAAAAGATGCCCCTCGGCACCTCGAGGGCAGGAGTGTACACTGCAGGCTGAAGCCTCCCCTCGCCACAGCCAGGCCCGATCTGGGCTTCAGACGATCGATTAGGGCTTGACGTGCTTTTAAGTTTGGGGCTCTAGGGCTTACAAGAGAAGACAAAAACAAATGTTACGTGGGTGTTGATTAATGAAAAAGAGCGCGCATTCGATCGTTACAGGCTCTTCTTCTTATTTTTCCTTCATTGAAAAACACGTGCCGTTCCCAAGTCTTAGTAGGAACTAATGGTAAACTGAATGAACCTTCTGCTGAAGGTTGATCACAAAGTTTTTGGTGTGGGCATTTATGATATCATAACATGAAACCAAAGAAAGAGAAACGAACTAAGTGCGTATTCCACTGACGTTCACATTTTAGAATGATGAGGTACAATCTATGAGGCAGCGCGGTCCACGGTACTAGATTAGACCACACGGGAGTGGAAACTGAGGACCCGAGGAACCACCCCAAACCCTAAACCCTGAACCCTGAAGGATTGCCGGAGGACGAGCTGCTCACGAACTCCTAAGTTTGGAGCTCAGGACTCGGCGCTTGGGATTCGGGTTTAGGGACGAAGGTCTAGGGGATTAGGGTTAGGCCTGCAAGACCCTAAAACCCTAAACCCCAAACCCTAAACTCAAGGTTTGGGAGTTGTTCTGGAGACGCGGGGTTCTGTGGCCAAGCGGCGGTCAGTGAACAGAGCCCTTCTTCAGCCGAAGCCTGCAGTAGCAGCACTGTCTGCGCGTCTAGCGTTCTTCGTCATCCCTGTGGTTGGCATATGGATCGTACGTACGCTGTAGGTGCTAAGCTGTTTCTTTGGCCTCAGCCCGGAAAGGCCCTTAAAAAATCAAAAGTGTAGGTTCCAAGGCCTATACCGTGACCTAGACCCTAAACCTCGAAAGGAACCTAAGTGTGGATGGGAAATAGGTGTGCTGACCTTTCTGGATACCGTTAGCATCAGCTGCATGAACAAGCACTGCTTCACACGACACATAGAAACTACACCGGAGGCATCCCTAAACCCTAAACCCAAAGAAGCCCTAAACCCGAAACCCTGATCTTACTACCCCCCCCTTAAAAAAAACTTGCCCCGAGCAGCAACAGCGGCCACGACTTGATCGGAGGCCGGCCACAACTGCAGCTGCACCTCAGAAGTCTGCATGATGTTACATGATAGGGTGTAGGTTTTAGGGTTTAGGCTTCAGGGTTTAGGGCTGTATTGAATCTTGTTGTACTATTTTGCTATACTGCTATATACTGAGATAATCTAAGGTGGGCCGAAATCATCCGGAAAGGCGGTGCTGGAAACGTCGTGGCCTAAATGGGACAGTAAGAGTCGGGTCTTGGTTCTGGAGATTTCGGTCTGCTATAACTATCTCGGAACCGTACAGCACCCTGAAACCGGAGGCGGCTCTTGTCGCACAGCTGAGTCGCCACGGCCCCATTCACTGCCGGGGGCCGCGCCAGCCTGAGAGGCCACTCGGGGGGCAGGGTTTTTGTCTGAAGCGTCATAGGACCGTTTCGAGCTCAGTGCTGTGAGGGAGCCTGTGATCTTTCAGCGTGTGGAAAGAAGCACGTAAACCGGATTTTGATCATGTTGTGCATCTTTGCAGCTCTTATGGTAGGTGCAACGCACATCTTTCATCAAGCAGCGGCTCATTGAGATTCCGCACATCGAAGAGGCCTTGGCAGCAGGGTCTCGGGGACACTAATCTTCTCGCATCTCCTGTGCATATGCTCATTGATATGATCTTTGTCATAAGGACCTGAAAAAAGACGCCCCCGAATTTTCTGAGACCCCATGTCCCACAGCAGGGCCCCAAGAACCACCGGGAAATGTCGAGATCCGCACCGAGCTCGCCGGCCAAGCCTCCGCAAAGCAGCAACCCAGATTCCCCGGATGCAGCCACACTGCACCTGGGCCGGCTGGTTGGGACCACATCAGAGGTTCCCGATCTGGTGGCAGTAGAAGAAGCGAACTGAAGACATGCGCCTGAACAAGACCTTAAGTTCCAGATGCACGGGAATAACGTACTACCGCCACGGGCTGGCACTGCGCAGCCAAGCCTGTGCGGCAACCACTCATCTCTCGGTTTCGCAAGCTTGCAGCATGCCTGCAATTGGACTGCTAGGCTATGCCAAGGATTTCTTGCAGATCTTAGAGGCGAGGCCAGAACCTCACCACAAAGAAGCTACAGTTCACAAGTGAGACCCTCCAACCTCCCCGGCCCTCTCTCCCTGGCGACTGCCCACCTCCCTGCACGTCCTGACCCCACGAAAATGTGATGCCAAGCCACAGAGAACGGGGCGCAGCTTCCCGGAAACCGGCCTTTGCTGTGGGGCCGAGGCCACTGCGCAGATCCCACAGCCTCGGGTTTCGAGTATTACTCTGATGATGAGCATGTCTTTTATTGTTGTAATCAGTATGGTGATGCAGATGATGAAGGTGGTCGTAATGTTATGACGACGACGATGATGATGATGATTGCTATCATTGCTATGAGGTCATTTATTGCTACTCCTGTTATTACTGTATGTACAGTTATCAGTATGTTTCGCTGCTTAATCCATCTGTCACGGGCAGGATCAAATGGTGTGGGGGGAGGGGGAGGGGGGAGTCAGAGTTTTGGCCTCTGCGATATGCCATCGTATGTTGTGAAGTCGTTTGGCATACCGCGATGTTGTACCAGACTCAATAGCCATGCATCCGGCCGAGCACAGTCTAGTATCAAGGTGGATATGCCCATACTCGTCGTACATCGTGACATCCACACATACTAGCATGGAAGACTGACCGTACTGCTTATGGTCATGTTAGTAATTTATGGCGACGGCACTTTCACTGAGAATAACACTGCTAAGACTACCAACGATAGCAATGGTCACAACTATAACAGCAGCAACCGTCAACATCATCGTCACCGTTATCTTCATCATCATGATCATCATCGTCATGATCATCATCAGCATCATCATCATCGCCGCCGACACCCCTTTTTACCAATGCAACAAGCAATAGCAAGCAATGGCAATGAGGACCGTGAGGGCAATCAGAACCATGATCGTCGTGAACATCCTTACTTTTCTTGTTCTGAATGCTATCATGGCAGTGCTGTGAGTATTGCTGGTATTGTTAATACAGAAGTACGTACTACTAGTAGTAAGTAGTACATACATACCTAGATTATTGCATCTTGTGCTTTAAAGATCGAGGATACGCAGACAGGTAGAGGGAATCTTGCCGCCTCCTGTCTACGAGTTACACCCTGCCTGAGGAACCCGGGTCGAGGTCATCTAACAACGGACTAAAGTACAGACCTTGATACTGAGATCCCTGATACACAGACGTAAGGAACCCTCGAAGAAAAGCCAACCAATGAATTACAAGAATCCTGAAGGCCCTACAAAACTAAACCCCCCTACGTAATCCCCAGAACCTCTCAGAAAACCCCCACCTGTCCGGCCGGGGGGCAGCAGGGATCCATCGAGGGATGCTGAAGCGAAGGACTGACGGCCGAAAAGCGATGTAGGGTTTGGGTTTGAGGGCCCAGAATGAAAATCATTTCCAAGACCATTGCATGGACGATGAAAAGTTATCTCAGAGTGTCTATAGATTAGGATCTGACTATGATCTGTGGTATTGCAGAACCTAATTCTGAAGCAGCCCTCTGCACAGCGGAGAACGATCCGGATTACTTGAACGCCGAGGTCATGCGTGAGGTCAGTTCTCGTGGTTGTGCCTGTGCAGAGATGGCACAGACATCTGCCACGAAGTCCCAGTGCCCTGCGCACCTGCCGCAAGTCTAATCGAGTCACCGATGGAGGCCCAGCAGCAGCACCAGCAGCAGCGGCGGCCATATGGCCAAAAGCATTGCCCCCGCCCACCAGCACCATCACAAGCACCCGTACCACGTAGCACTATCTTTATCACCATGGTAACGGTCAACGCTTATCCTCGTTGTGTGCACCGGTGCTGGGGGTCCGAGCGCCGAGAGGCCGCGTGGTGGGCTCAGCGCAGCATCGTAGAGGCCAACTTCGTGAGATCCCAGCGCCGACATCCTCGGACTTTCTTCGGTTCTCGGGTCATCTATTGAGGACCTTCAGAGGGCTTCGGGCTCGGGATGAAGATCTAGTGCGGGCTTCATCAGCACTTCCGGCTGACACATCGCTTTATCCGAGTCATGGAACTGGCCGAGCACCACCAGCGACTGCGAAAAGTCCAGGAACTCGCCCCGGGAGACGCGATCCAACGAGCGCCAACCTTGGACAGCATGTTGCGACAGCCACGTGAACTCAGAACTTTTCCTGCCGCAAGCAAATCGAAGGCCAGTGTGTGCCGCAAATGCAGTGAAGTACCCCTATAGCTTCAGACCCTCTCCTGAAAGCATCCCTGACATTCCCTGACTTCCAAACCTTTTTGTCTCTGAACCTTCCTTAATCCAGACGCAGCTCTGAAAACCTTGCCAAACATACCGCCAAACCACAAACCTTAAATCCGCACAGCCTCAAACCCCTAAATCCCTGGATACCCCAAAAAAGCCTAAACCCCTAAACCCTGAAGCCCCCAAATCGCTCCGGGACACCGTTGCGAGGCGCTGGCGGCGGCCAGGGCGCCTCCACCTGCCAAGCCTGGGCTGCCGAAGCCTCGGAGTGGGCTGCGGCATGGAGGGCAAAGGGAGGAAGAATCACACCGTCAACTTGTCCGTCTGTGCATGGACGGACGGATGCATGGATGTAGTGTGTATGTGCATGTATGTATGTATGTATGTATGTATGAATGTATGTAGGTAAGTACGTATGTACGTATGTACGTATGTACGTATGTACGTATGTACGTATGTACGTATGTACGTATGTATGTATGTACGTATGTACGTATGTACGTATGTACGTATGTACGTATGTACGTATTTACGTATGTAGGTATGTAGGTATGTATGTATGTGTGTATGTATGTATGTATGTATGTATGTATGTATGTATGTAAGTAAGTAATGTATGGTCAGGTAATGTAATGTAATGTAATGCGGTGTAATGTGATGTAATATAATGTACTGTAACGTAATGTAATGTTATGTTACGCTATGTTAGGTTATGTTATCTATCTATCTATCTATCCATCTATCTACCCATCTATCTATCTACCTGCACATATACACGCATAAATATATACACACACACACACGCACACACACACACACGCACACGCACACATATATATATATACACACACATACACACACATACATACATACATACATACATACATACATACATACATACATACATACAAAATCATTTATCTATTCAATCTATTCACTTATACATATATACATGGAAATTTTGTCGCACACGCAATAGTGGCATTTTTGTATGGAAATGAGGACCACCAAAAAGGACGCAACCCTTTGGAGAGCAACCTCCATGTTGGATCTTTCTATAGCCTTGCCACGCCAAGCCGCATCATCCGTGCGGCGGAAAAGAGCCAGCCCAGCATCTGGACCGTTCACTCCGGCCACCAGCACCTGGTGGATAGCACGATAACTACGACGGCAACGGCGATGCTGTTGAACAGCAGGCAACGTCACGATCTTGGTGGCTTATCACGAGCAGGAGCAGCAAAAGCAGGCGGCAGATTGCTGCCATGAGCTCTGAAGTCTTTCCTTCACTCCGACTCTGCATGTCGCATTCGTTCGTCTAGTTGACGCGACGACGTGATAGTGAATTGCTGATGGTGACGGTGAATGTTGGTGAGGCTGTGGCTGATGTTGGTCATGATGGTGCTGGCCGTGACGATAGCGATGATGAGAATGAAAAAGTTGACAGCGGAGAGAGTGCTGCTGCTTCTTCTGCTGCTGCTGTTGTTGATGCTGGTGGCAGCGGCAGTGGTGGTAAGGGTGAAGGTGTAGTTGAGGGTGCGGGGTGAGTGTGAGAATGGCGGTCATGATGATGGTGATGAAGGTGCAGGTGATGATGATCATCATCATGATCATGATCATGCACGTGGTGATGATGATGATCATCATCATCATGATCATGATGATGATGATGATGATGGTGGTGGTGGTGGTGGTGACGATCACGATGACGATGAATATGATGATGAAGAGGATGAGGATGACGATGACGATGGCGGAGCACGGCATGAGGCCGACGACAGCAAAGACGCACTGCATCCGCCTACCATCCATGCTTGCCAGCCAAATTCTCACCGCCCGGGCCTCGTGCGGAGCTCCCTGGGTGGCCGAGAAGCCCGGCGCCATCAGGCTCACCACGTGAAAGGCTCCAGGCTCCTGATTCGAGCTCTTTGATCAGCTTTCACCTCCTTCCTCCCAAGACAAGTCTCACAGTGGTTCAGTTCCAAGGGCCCCGAAGCCTCGAAGCACCCAGCAATGCTCCTCCCCACCAGAGGCAAAAAGGCGATCCAGACGGAGTCCCGCATCCAAGTCCCACTCCTGTCAAATTTCAGCTCCAGGGCCTTCTTTGTAAAGGAGAGTTTGCGGCTTAGGGTCCAATGTTCAGGGCTTAGGGCTTCCAAAGCCTTGAGTGTCTAGAAGCTTCGTCGTTTTTGGGGGTTTCGGGATTGACCAACTCTGCGGTCGATACCTGCCGGCTAGCGATGCTCAGGAAGCTCAAGCCCTCTACACATCCTGCCTACGAGTCGCCACTGCCTAAACCCTAAAACGCCCAAACCCTACTAAAGCCTAAGTCGCTAGTAAGTCGAAACTGTGGCCTAGGGAGCTTTCAAAGAGGGCTCCTCGAGAACGCCTCCGGCTCCAGCCAGAAGCATGCCGTGGTGCCTCACGCCGAGGCCCGTCTCTGGCGGTAGAAAGGTTGGCAGCACCGCGTAGGGAAGCCTGATAGGATGTGGTCGTGCAGACTGCTACATGATGGGGATACGTGGGCGCATCGGTCTCAAGTTTTGTGTTGGCGGGCTGAGGGTTTGGAACATCGAACCTCGATGTTGCGAAGTCAAAGTGCATGCGAATGCAGGGCTACCGATGAACGAAAATGGTTCAAGCATCCCCTCTCCCTTGCGGACAGGGAGCAAGCTATCTGGAGACGTCGAGGCCGAAAGCAGGTCTTCCACTGCCTCGAAAACGACCTGAGGAGAGAACACGTTGAAAGGATCCACAGCAAATGTTCACTGGCTGTTTGGCAGCACTCTCAGCAGAAGGTAAACCCTAAACCCACCTCATTCAACTCGAAACCCAGAACCCTGAACCCTAAGTACCTACCTGACACGACTCTCTGAGGATGTGACAGCAGGCTCGTGCAGTGGTTCGTCGATCTCTGCCTCTGCCTGCCCGTGTCGGTGACATGATTCTGAAAGGTTCTCTTTCTGGCATGGGCATCTACGTCGCCCAGACGTGGAGCCTTTGTTACTAATGAGTAGCTCTCAAGATTGAGATCTAGGAGCCCACGAGCCTTCCCGCCTCCGAGGAGCTGTCTGCTTGCCTTGGAGGCGGCCGTGGTCGCAAAGGCACCCGAGGAGCGGCGGCACAGAGCAGTGGCACGGCCGCCTGTAACGAGCCGGAGCATTCTGGCCTAACACGAAAAGCTCCCAGCTTTTAAAGGGGGGACCTGCCATGCTCAGGGCTCGGAAGCTGAAGGTTCCCGACTTGTAAACTTCATATCCTGCTTCATGTCGGTATGACATCTACGCGAAGGGTTCTTAAAACACGAAAGACAGCACCATAGCGAAAATTGCATCACGGCATCACAGTGAGCAGATAAGGATGACGTGAACCGGCCCAACCTGCCTGAGCCAAGGCGGGATATTGCGCACGCACGGCTGCGTGTGAAGCCACCTGACGAAACCACCACAGCGCTCACTCCAAGTGCGGGCTCACGTAAGAGCATTCACGGATCCATTGTGCTATCCGCACGCTCGGATGCCGGGCAGGAAAGCCACCATCCGCACCCTGAAGCTTGGACCCGGAACCCTTCACCATCCCACGCCCTGAACTCTCAACTGAGATCGAAAACCCACACCCTCTCATAGCCCCATCCTAGTAACCAAGATAGCAACCCTCAACCCCTCATTGAGGCCAAAGGGGCCAAGATCGGAAGCAGCGAAGAGTTCGCCAAGGCTCGCGGCAGCTCGCCGGCCCTGCCAGCTGACCGGTTGCCACTGCTTCTTACAGGGGGTAAAGGGTTCTTATTGGGTTCTTCTGCGGTTCGTTTCGGGTTCTTATGGGGTTTGGGTAGGGTCAGGGTGGGGTTTAGGGATCTTGGGAAAGGTGGTCAGGGTTCAGGGTTTGGGGCGTTGGGGTCGAAGTTTGTACGGCTGCGAGCGTTTGGGGTATGGAGTTGAAGTGATGCTTGCGCTTTTGCTGTGGGTTTCAGCGTGTGCAAAGGATCTTGCAACCTTCCTCAGTGTTCAAGAGGGGGCCATGTGTCTGTAGATGTGTGTTCAGGCGTGTCCACATACGGAGAGAGGAATAGACAGGTAGACAGGCAGGTAGGCAGACAGACAGACAGGCACATACCTAGGTGGACAGACCGGTGGATGGATGCATGCATGGATAAATAGATAGCTAGACAGACAGATAGTACGTAGGTAGGTAAGTAGCGATAGAGAGAGAGAGAGAGAGAGAGAGAGAGAGCGAGAGAGATACTAGATAGATAGGTAGATAGGTAGATGGACAGATAGGTAGATAGACAGATAGATGGATAGACAGACAGATAGATAGACAGATAGATAGACAGATAGACAGACAGACAGACAGACAGACAGATTGATAGATAGATAGATGGATAGACAGATAGATAGAGAGGTAGACGGATAGACGGATAGACAGATAGACAGACAGACAGACAGACAGATAGACAGACAGATAGATAGATAGATAGACAGGTAGATAGATACACCAGGTACATATCATATGCGCATACACATACACGTGGGGAGAGAGAGAGAGAGAGAGAGAGAGAGGTATATGTATATATACATACATATAATATATATATATATGTATGTATGTATGTATGTATGTACGTACGTATGTATGTATGTATTTATTTATTTCTAATTGATTTTGATTTAGATACGCATACATACACATGCGGATTAACATAGAGCAGACATGGACAAACAGAGGTACATATGCATGTTCTGCAGATGCATATCATCTGCACAAAACATGTTTGTTATCTAATGACTGATCCGATCCTGGGCATAGACTGGGCAGCCAGGTCCAGCAGGGCAAAGCTGCGAGGCAGCTCGCCATTCTGGCAGGGTCACGACCGGGTTCTGGCTATAATTGAGGGACTTCGTCCGGGTAGCGTTGGTATTAGGCTTAGGATTATTGCTCTTATTTCTGAGGCTCAGATCATCACTCTTATTAATGTTGTGTTACCACAGTCGGGAGATGTACGGTGACTCGGCTGTCGTTTGAGAATCATTGTGGAAGCGACCTTGGTGTTGGGATTGCGCAGCTGGCTAGAGTCAAGTCCCATGCAACAAAGGGGCCAAGTCCCAAGGCAGCATCGTTCAACTTGACAGGGAGCCTCCTTCTGCTGAGCGACCAACTCCTCTACGACTGCCACAAGGCCGGACACCTCCGGTTCAACGATGCAGCTTCCGAGACCCCGAGGCCGACCCCACTTTTAACTAAAGCACAGAG